CCCCAGGGGGAGGGGGGGAGGTGGAATCTGCCTGTGGGCTAGGTCCTGGGAGCTGCCAGCAGTGAAGGGAGAAGGACGTGGGGGTGCATGCAGCAGAGCTAGCTTGGGCTTGCAGGTGCAGTCCAGACTCCTCACCCCCCATTCAGCCCAGGGCTGCCGCCATGGTGCTCCATATGGGACTGAGCCCCACCTGCTCCCACCCGGGGCAGCCTATGCCCTCCTCCCATCCACATGCTGGGGCAGGAGCTGCCCAGAGACCTGCTGCTTCAGGCAGGGAGGAAGCTGCAGGTAGTATTCAAGACAAAATGGAACAACTTCAATAACAGATATCAAAGAAGCCCCCACCCCACCCAAAAGGGGTAAAGGCATTCACATGGGAGATATAGGTTCAAATCTTCTCAGGCATCACTACCTCCTGTGGTTGCAGGGCTCTTGGGGGAAAGGGCTGAGGTGCTAAACTCCCAGGATAGATTTCATGGATGTGAATCTTGAGTAGAAGGACACACCTTCCTGAAGCTCAGTGCTAGGCATCTAACTGCTTAAAGGGAGCTGAGGATAAGCATTCAACATTTCCTACTGAAAACATACACAAGCAGGACTGGGATGAGGGGTAGGGGAGCTGTGGGACAGCAGGTGAGATTGAAGCAGGGAGTGGTAGTCTGTGGAGGTAATACTGCTTAGTACTGGACTTAACCCATTTGAAAATTTTCCTAATAGTAGATCAACACTAACAGGATGCTAATATTAAAATCTAGTCAGGCTGGGAGAAGAAAACAATGCTGGTAAGCCTCAAGTCAGCAGATCAATTCCCACCTCTAAGCACTGAGACTCTGTCATCTGCTGTTGCTTATGACTATGACCAACAGCTGAGTATATCACCAGCTGCAGCACACTCTTGAAAATCAAGCACACCGCTCATATCCATGCACCTCAGTGCTCCCACCCTTTTGTGGAGTAATACACTTTTGCATTCAGTACACCTAACCTCTGCAACTCCTATTGCTGTTTGGCCCCTGTACTGATCTAGATGCTGGGAAGTGACTATAACAGAAACTATCATTAATTAGTACCAGAATGAAGGCTCCTTTTGGATCCAGAATGATTTGGCAAAGACTGGACGCAAGAAGCAGTGCTGCCACTACTTTAGAAAGGGAATGGGGCTGGAGACAGCGAGAAGAGATGGATGTCAAAGGGTTACAGTGAATTTGCAGGATACTTTCTATTGCAGATTAGTGGCAGTATTGAGGTTCTGAGCACACCAGAGGAGAATCCCCTCACTTCCCCTCCATGCTCAGAGGCAAGATCCTTCCCTTCCATTCCCCACTACCCCACCTGGTCCTGATGTATTCCTCCCTGTCCTGAGGGCAGGGAGGGCTTCAGAACAGCTTCTGCCCATTCCAGATGGGATGAGTAGGGACTGGGCTCAGTTGGGAATGCAACACAATGGCAGCAATGGTGATGTGTGGGTGGGTGGGTTCCCCCTCCCTGCCCAGTCCCTCCGGGAGCAAGCATAAGAGGGAACACCCTCCTCCATCATGGCTGCTGTCCCCACTGTCCCAGCCAAGCCCAGCCTCTGCACAGCTTGGCTGGAGTAGGCCAGATAGGCTCTAAAGCCTCCTGTGCCCACAAGACAACACAGAAAGCAGCAGCAAGAGAAAGATGGGAGGGGAAGGGATATGTCTTTGAGCACTGAAGGGAAGTGAGGGGAATCTCTTGAGGTGTGATCCAGTCCAGAAAGACCCACCCCTGGGCACTCTTCCCCTCCCTCCCATCTCCTGCTTAGCCTGTTAATGTTCATTGGAGGTTAGCATATCAACCCACATGCTATAAGTCAGCTGACTGCTCCTCTGTCTTCCTGCCAAGGCAAGAAGCAATAGGGCTGCTTGTTTGTGATAAGCAGGGCTGCTATTTCTGGGGATGTGAGCTTCCTGCATCCCCTTGGCACCAGAGTTTGGGTTAGCATCAAGGCAAGTATGAATTTAGATATGCTAAATGTATTAAATAAAGATTTCTCTTTCAAGTGAGACCAAGCTCCTCTATGAGCTGCATGCTTATTAAACAGCAGATGACTTATTTGTATATAAGCCTTGTCATCTGAGCCCTAATGTTCCTTCCTCTTTCCAGCTGTGGTGCAGAGTAGGAACAGCTACCTTCTAACTCACCGTTGGCTGCAGCGTCACATATTATGTGAATAATCTGAGAATGAAAAATGACATTTGTATGTAAATTCCCAGAAGTCTGCTGTGCTGTATGGGAAGCAAGGAACCCCAGGTCCCCTTTCCCTGTTATTCCAGCTGGTGATTTACACTAAAGTTGGACTTTTCTAGTTTTATGTGCATTAGAATCAATAAGATACTAACCAGTGTGTAGGGAAGGGTGACAGAGAGCCTGGCTGCAGGGGCTGGTTGCATAAGGAAGCTTTTACCTGTCCACTCTAAAAGATGATGGGGTGTCACAGTAAACAATAACAACAGAGCAAGTGCTCGGCTGCCCTGGGGTTGTGGATGAGGCATCTGTTGTAATTTGGGGGCTCCTGGGTGGAAATGATTTGGGATCTATTATTCTTTTCAGTTCACACATGCTCCTTTATTTCCCAGTCTGGTGGGCTATGGGTTTGATTGTACACAAATTTGAATCTTTGTGTTTTGTTATAGTGAAATGCAGGCCCTTGGTGAGTGTGCCATACCATTCAGGACTTTCCAGAAGCGTGTCTTGAGGAAGACCTCCAAGAGAGACCTTAGGAAGCTGAAGTGAGGTATTGATGGGGTAGGGGTTTTCTTGGAGAACAACAGATAGATTTTGGGTAGTTGTCTTATAATGATGTGTGATCCTAAAGAAAAGTCCCTGATAGGGGAGAAGAAGCCACAGGGGGCAAGGGAGGTAGGAAAGAAATGTTCCCTTAGATGTTAAACCTCTATGAATAAATAATATGAAGAAAGCTATGGGTTAGTATTTGATACAGTGTTCAGATTAAGGCTTATATTACCCTTGTATGTGGGAGACTGGGGTCCCAGCCCTTGTCCAGGTGTCTTGGTATAGATCCTGGGAGTATTGAGGACCCTCCAGAAGCATCTGTGCTGAAGTTATGGCCAGGGATCTGCTTACACTATAACTTTTCCATGGCGCACTGAAACCATGGCTTGGTCCAGTAGTTGAGAAGTTTTAACCACGTCCCCTAGCTCTGCTAAAACCCACAGCCTCTAGGAAAGGGGTGAAATGTGTGCCTCAACTTCCCCAACAGTGACAACCAATAACGTGTTATTAATGGGATCCAAGCTGAGTCCTCTGCCCTGGTGGGAAAGTGATGATTTAAGAAGCAGTCACCTGAGGGTGGAAACCTGCAAGAGGACGACTTTCAGCAAAGAGAAATGCCGTAAGGGAAGTGGGGTGCTTGAGATTAATCCTTTCTCTGTAGACTGTTCAAAGCCAAATGCAGAGTAAGCAGGTCCAAGCTCCTGCTTGCTTATGACACCTTAAAGACCCAAAGAACAAGTGATCCCTAAACTCTTGAGGGCCTGGAACAAGTAGGCTGCTTTTTACTGATCGCCCTTCCCTGAGCAGACTGGCTGGGGAACTTTTCCTTACCTCTGATTTTGTCTTTCAGCCTAAAGAGAGAACCCAGAAAGTACAACTGGAAGGAAGCCAAGTCTCTAGAAAAGAAGCAGAGTAACGTCTGCCAAGAAGAACTGCCATTAAGGGTTTGTCTGTCCAGTAGGCCTGTGTGAATAGGCAGCTATTCAATTCAGCTTCAGATCCAGCCGATTCAGATGCCAGCGATCCAATTCAGAGCTCTGGATCAGTTTCCCACTTCGATTCAGCCAAATTGGTTCCAAAGCTTTGGAGCCGCTTCAGCGATCCGGCCATAGGGTGTAATGGAGAATCAATGAAATATCTATAACTTTGTTGGTTTTTGTCTGATTTGGATGAAACTTGCAGGGATGGTAGCCTCTGTGGAGATTATGACGCCTGCCAAGTTTCAAGGAGATAGGGGTGTTTGGGGAAACTGCACCCCAAATTCTTGAAAGCAAAACTCATGTCACGTGTATATGTTACACCACAAGGGGGGGAAGACTGCAGGGGGGATCACTCCTGCTGAGGCCACAAAGCCTGCCAAGTTTCAAGGTGATAGGTGCAGGGGGAGTCTGGCTTCTGGGGCCCTGCACCTCTGGCTGCTGACAGGCAAAACTCGTGACATAGATGACCCTGTGTGTGTTAAGGTGCAGTGAGGTGAAAACTGCAGGCCTGCTAGCCCCTGCTGAGGCCACAAAAGCTGCCAGCTGTCAAGGAGATAGCTGCAGGGGGGGTCTGGGGCCCTGCACCCCTAGCTGCTAACAGACAAAACTTGTGACATAGGTGCTTGTGCAACTAACTGTGCCTGTCTTGGGGTAGTTGATGATCTGTATTGATTATTTCCTCTCCTTAGTCTGTGGTTTTGGTGTTAATCCTTATTCATTAACTCATTACATTAGCTAGCTACTGTGTATTGAGCCGGTCCCTGAGTGAATCATGATTGACTGGTAACACAGTAGCCTAGGAGCCAGGCCTGCCCTAGTCCCCCATCCCCATGCCCCAAGACAGACACAGTTGCACAAGCACCCATGTCATGAGTTTTGCCTGTCAGCAGCTAGAGGTTCAGGGCCCCAGAACCCAGAAGCCCTGCACCTATCTCCTCAAGAGCTGGCAGGCTTCATGGCCACAGCAGGGGCCGACATCTCTGCAGCTTTCATCCGGCTACACTTTAACGCACACGGTGTCACCCATGTCATGAGTCTTGCTTGTCCGTGGCTTGAGGTGCAGATCCCCCCCAAACCCCTGCACCGATCTCCTTGAAACCTGGCAGGCTTTGTGGCCTCCACGGAGGCTACCTTCCCTGCAGTTTTGACCCCACTGTGGCTTAACACATACGTGTGACATGTGTTTTGCTTTCAGGACTTTGAGGTCCAGTTTCCCAGAAACCCCTGCATCTATCACCTTGAAACTTGTCAAGGATCATGCTCTCAGCAGGGGCTACTATCCCTGTAAGTTTCATCTGAATCAGCCAAAAGACAACAAAGTTATAGATATTTCATTGACCCCCATTTATACCCTATGGCCAAATCCACTCTGAATCGATCTGGAAAGCCTAAAGCTTCCAGCAATTAGATTCAGCCTCCAAATCATCCATATCATCTCTGAATCATGAGCCGAAGCTTTGCACAGCCCTATTGTCCAGTATATTTCTACAGCTCCCTCTTCCTTGATTCCTAGACCCCACATTGAGATTGGGTCTCAGGAACTGTGACATGCAGTGGAGGCACCTGGTTTTTAGGCATTTTCCCATCTACCCTGCTGCCTTATCAGGATCCACAGGCTAAGTTAGGCACTTAACTCTCCCTGTGCATTGTATCAGAAGCTTAAGTGCCTTAGAATGGGGCCATACAAAGAATGAGAAGACCCCTGATCTAGCCAATAAAACAGCCTAGAACTCTCTCCTGAAGGTGGGTGCTCACATTATCTCTGGATACAGAGCAGGGTCAACCTTCTTTCAAAACACAGTATGAAGACTATGCCACATCAACCCATTCCATCCATAAATATTTCAGCAGTTGGAGCACTTACCTGGAATGTAAGAGACCTGAGCTCAGGGCCCACCTCAGCCAGAGGGAATTGCAATCCACATCTCCCAGGAGATTGCTTTCATTACCAGACTAGAGGCTAGGCTGGTGGGGGGCACCCTCCATCACTCCTGTTCAACTTGTTTGACTTTGCATAGCATTATTAATCATTGAATCAGGAAGAGCTAGGCAGTGTATATACATTACTCCAGCCTGCTGAGAGGGGGTATTCTCATGGGGGAGTATGTATCTGTGTCCAAACCTGTTTAATGCAAAATACAAACAGTGCTTGCATCAGGGTATGGAAATCAGAGCTGTCCTCTTCCAGGTGAGTGCCCTGATCAGCAGAGAACACCAGTCACTGCCACCACATTTTGGCCAGAGCCTGGAAAGCGTTCAGATCACACCAGTAGGATCAAGGCCCTCGGGCAAGATAGACAGAGGAATCCGTACTTTGGTGGACTCACATTTAAGGTAAGCTGTTCAGCCCAATTAAGACTGGCATTCTGTGCATGTATAGAAGCAAAATTTTAGGTGCAAGAGATCCTTAATATCAACTACTTAGGCACTTAAGTCTTCTAGGATTAGGCAGCAGTTGAATGTGTGCATATGTGTTGGGGCGGGGGGAGATTAAGGATCTGAAATTAAGACATAGGTACTCAAATTCTGCCTAAATCCCACTGAGATCTCTCGTAGACCTGTACTCCAGTCCAAAGCTCAAATTGCTTATCAGTCTTTTGTTTGTTTCTCATGCATGATGATTCATACACTTTTGCTTTCAGTTCTAGTAAAAATAAGTACTTCCCAGAAAAGCTGCTAGTGTCATCTTCCCTAAGATACATAACACACAGAGGACCTCATTGCCAAGCTTGATAGTTAACTTAATAGTTAACCTGGCCTAAAGACTGACTCATTGTTCATGCACAAAGCACCTCCCTAGAAGTTTCTACCTGGAGGAACTTCTGTTCATGTTACTCCCCTACAACAATCTGAATTTAGACTGAATTTAGTAGGTCTTTACAATGAAACTATAAATGCTTCTTCCTTTCCCCTGACCCATTGAGCATGACAAAGGCCAGTTTTCTAGTGTAACAGTTGCATTAACCCTAAATGTAACTATGACTTTCAGTTTATTTGCCTCTTTAATCTATTGTTTTAGGGCTAAAGTAGAAGTATGGTTTTGTATTCATAACTCCTTTTCTATGTGGCACTATATTAGCAGGATCCTGGCTAGCATGTTGTTGAAATAGGATACATAATTAGTGTTGAACCCAATAAGGAAGGTTGAATGCTATATCAACACGCAACTCTCACTTGTGTTCTCTATGTAACTATATGCATCTTGCCCACATCCATTCATCTAGCCAAATTCCCAAGTCACTCTGTTTCCCATAATGTCCAAGGTCACAGGATACTGTCGTAAGAGCTCCCTTCTGACGTCTTTCTATGCTAGACTTTTTTTTCTTCCCCCACCAAGCAAGCAAGCTTGGTTTATGGTCTTTTCTGTCCATTTACTAATATTATCTATTCACATATTTGTTGGTTGACCTCTTCTCCTTCAGTTTACCCTTCCTTAAAGTACGGTGCTGGCCAAATGAGGACATCTCATAACATCTCTACATTTTAATTGTCAAGGAGGCTTTCTTATTTTCCAACAGCAGTTGCAAAGTTCCAGCAGCCTCTTCGATTTGTCCTATGAACTGCATACAGTATCTTTAAGAGTAGTCTCTAGTACTTCATTTCAAAGGCTTGTATTTGTCTCTTTACACCTACATTTGGGGTCCAGCTTTCAAATGTGCATATAGCTTGTTGATATTGCCATTAATCTAAAAAGACAGATCCTTATTTTGATAGAGATATCCTTGTCCTTCAAGACCTTGGACAGTTTTCCTTGTACTACTGTTTCTATTGTAATTCTTGTCTGTACTTCCATGTCTGATCTACAGTTTTCTGAGAGATTTTACTTCAAATATTTAAATAAGTTAAATTTTCCAGGATGCCCCCCTTTTTAATGTATGTATCTATATTGCCATGTACAGCCACAGACCTGATATTTCTTTTACCCACAGTGATCTCCTCCATTTCATGAAATGTTGCTATAGTGTTTAGGGCCTATGTTAATTCTGCCAGTTCCCTTACTGATCCTGATTAGCTTGCTTTATCTTTTTCCTTCCTCTAGTAGGGGATATGGTCCTCTTCCTTGGATCTCTCCAGTGTATTTTTAACAATGCTTTCAGCTGCAGGACCTTTATAATGCCCTTGTCCTCCTATTTTACCTGTGGCAGATTAGGGAGTTCTTAGGGGAAGCAGGCATGGGCAGTGTACCTTGCAGTTGTGCAAAAGGTGGTTGTGTAGTTTTACAAATTAGTTAAACAAGCACTTGTCTAGACTAGTTTAGATAGGGATAATCCTGCTTTTGAGCAGTGCATTGGACTACATAACCTCCAGTGGTCTCTTCTACCTACAGTTGATACTAACCTATCAAAGTGTTCAAGTGCATCTAAAGAGAAAAGAAAATGCCCACCTATCTTACATCAATGTGAATCTTAAATTCTTCCCATAAGGTACTCCCTGACAAGAAAAAAAAATAAGAAGAGTTGCTGTAGAGTGATGTGACTGTATAGATACTCCCTGGATTGATATTATGCTTTGTCACAAATCCCCATAAAGCCAAATACAATCAACATTTTTTTGTTTTTCTAGTTGTAACACATTTCCATTTGGTAGCCAATACACTTTATGCAAAGTATTCTCAAATTGCAAATCTTCTCAGGTGTATTAAGGTCTTTTGTGAAAGCTGCCTGTCCGGCTGGTGCTATAGTTTCTATCCATGGCTTCAATTAACTTGGCAAAATGTGTAGTAGTACCTTGCTTGGGTAACTAATCAGGCCTATAGTTCTGTGCTTACTGCAATCTCACAAATTTGTGAGAATTGAATTATCACTATCAATCTTGTCTATTGCTCAGCCAGTTTCCAGGCTGCCATTTAAGGTTACAGATCTTAGGAAGGATCCCAGTCAAATGATTATCCCTGTTTTTACAAATTCAGCAAGGATATTGTCATCTCCTATATCTTTCCTGTTTTTTATACTTTGCTATTGCTGCCTCAGCTTCAGCCATAAGGATTGCTTAACAGTGCGTTTAACAACTCCTCGTATAGGTCGTTAGCAGCATTTGATCCTTAGATCTCTAGCACTACAGTATAAAATCCTACCACTTAATGAATCTCACAGAATGAACGAGTCCTTAGGCTGTTATCCTCTAGCAGACTAGTCCTAAAAGAGGACATTAGCACTCACTCTGTTGGTGTGTTATGTAGAAGAAAACAGTGGTACCTGTGGCATATACACTGAAATTGAAGGTTCTCTCTGTTCGTGTCTCAGCAGGTGTCTCTGAAAAGGGCACTACTGAAGTATCAAGGACCCAGCGGAGCAACTAGAATGGTCCTATTTTGCCAGAAAAAGTTGATGCATCTGCTCCATCTGATTATTTTCTTTCTGGCTGTGGGGTCCGTTGCCCTGATGGTTTATGCCCTTTTGGTGGAAGCTGGAAACATTGTCAACCTTCCTAAGAAAAGAATTGGCTTCTACAACTTCTGCCTGTGGAATGAGACAATTGAAGAGCTGCAATGCCTGATGATCAAGGACTTTGAGAAAATAGACATTCACCAGGCTGTGATAGCCGTGGCAAGGGTCCTTGTATATTCTCCCCTAATCATCTGTCTCTTTTCATTACATCTCATTGTGCATGTGGGGGGTAGTAATGACAGAATGGAATGGGAACTGATCCTTATGATGCTGGGCACCACAACCATAATGTTATCTGGTGGGCTTAGCTTGTTTTTGTTTCAGGTCTGGACTTGGATACAGGTCTCTGATTTTTCTGGAGCTTTCATAGCATTAGCTGGGGCTCAGGTTCTGCTGGTGCTCCAGCTGGTTGCTACTGCCACATATCTCAAGTGGGTGAAGGATAACATTATCAAGGGCAGCTCTTCCCCTGAGGAGGAACTTCCACCCTTGAAAGTCTGAGAGAAAGGGAGATGCACTGACTATTGAAATGCACCTCTGATATGACTAACTATAACTGCTTTCATTGCTTATATATATCTTAACTGTTAAATATTTCATTTATATAAAGTAAATCATAACTCTTATTAACTTAGATTAACTTTTATATAATAATTTGATCAGTCATCATTAGCGGTCTGGAATTAACCATCTGTTCTAAAGTTCTTATTGCTTAGCATAAATATTATTCTCATGATTTTAGACAACTTGACCTATTGGACTTAAGCATTTTCCTTATACTAAATTTGTGTATGGGTTTTCAGTATGTCTGGCATATGTGGAAAATGGTAATGAAAGGGTAAATGATGTATGTATGTGACAACATGAAGGAAGACAGCCCTCTTGCAGCAGGTGAAAATAGTCTTTTGTGGTTTAATGGTTAAAGGCTGCAGTGACGTCGAATTAGCAGTTAACGATTACCAAATACTAGATCATGATTTACTGATGGCTGAAGACTGCAAGCAATGACCCCTCTGAAGACCACAAAGCCAGAAGATCATGACCTACCAATCCCAGCCTGCCAATAGGACAAGGATGACCTTTGTCTGACTCAAAATCCATAGGCCTGTATGGACAGCGATCACTATAAAGAATGAACATGAAGACAAGGCTTTGGGTCTTCCACCTGCAAGGAGGAGTTTGGGGCATGTCCAGCAAGACCTGACTCCTCCATCTCGTCAGTCTGGCTGGCCACCAGACTGACCTGAGCAACTTTAGAACTTGGTAGCACCTTAACCTTTGCAAGACTGTCTAATTATTTGTGCGTCTGCACTTGTCTCTTGCATACACATTCATTCATACATGGAAATAAGTAAAGCAGACATCCTTACTGTTCTTTTTTCATGTTGCATATTTTATGTTCTAATGAAAGCAGTATTGTGCCTTATCCCCTGATTAAGATTCCTGCTTGTTTTTAATTCACAGTGTGCGCACAACACAGTGCCTTCTGAGAAACTACCACTCTAGTTTTTACAGTCTTCTCAAATCTGGCCCTTAGATAGGTCCAAAATGCCACTAGCATGCTTTGTTCTTGAATGCCTGAGTTTGCCAAATCTTCAGCTTTACCAGAGCTATCCTGTGATGCACACAACTCCTAATACAGAATGTCACACAATACCATACCTTCACAGGAACATCTGATCAGCTAATGCTTTTACACAATAGGTGATGGCCAGACAACCACAGCAAGAGGTTGGCTTCACAAACACTTTCTACAACATGAGTAGCCAGAGGTAGCCCTCCATTCAGCCTCTCCCCATTTGTAGTGGTCTTAGAATGTGCCCTCCCACTCCCACACTCCTTATATTATCTTCTATGCTGCTCTTCTCCCGTCCAACTTGGTCTCCTTCTCTTCCCCTGCAAATAGTTGAACTGTTACAACTGGAAGTAAAGGGAAGCCATTTTTTTGATACCACTGAACTCCTTCAGAAGACTGAGTCTTCAGTGCCACCTCCAGAAGCTAGAAATATTTTGTCAGTTTATTAGTTATGTTCAGCACAGCTAAACAATGGAGCTCAAATCATTGAAAGCATTCAAGTACCTGCCTCACTTCTAATATCAAATCAGTTGGCTGAATGGAAATGTCTGAATAGTTTTGACAATCTGGGCTCAAGTTATTGCAATTAATCTTTGTTAGTTAACCTATCATTTTGGTTTGTGTATGCACTATTTCAAGAACTGAATGGCCTGGTGTATTTAAAAATGAGTGTATAGCTGTCAGCAGAAACCATGGAATTCTACCTGTAGCTCAAATCAGCTGTGACTTTGTGGCTTAGGGTAATGCCCCGTCCCTTCGTTTCTACTTCTGGAACATTTCACCCTCTGGAACAGTTCAAATAAAGAAAAAGCAAGAGTAGTTTGGCTTTCTTGTTCCATATACCAGCAGCCTTGGGTGTGCCTCTTCAGATATAATTTGTTTAAAATATAATAGGCAGCAGCAGTAGGGGACATGGCGCTATGCTGTTTCTGCTACAGCTGCCTGCTGTTGGGGGCAGGGTGCTGCAGATGTGGGGCCCTGGTCAGATGGAGAGCTGGGAGATTAAAAGTAGGACAATAATTGTTGGGGAGTAGGAATAGCAAACTGCAGGGCTGGGATAAGCAGCCTGGGTTTCCCAGCCCTGGGGCTGTTCTGTGAACATGTGCAAGTATTCTCTAAATCAAGTTAACCCCTACCTTGATCTAAGTGAGTGCACTTCCTGAAGTGCACTAATTTAGACCATTAGCACAATT